AGTCAAACAGCACTAAGAAACAAAATACTTGGGGTAGTCTGATAGAAGTAATTAAAAAGGGAAGAGGGATAAAGACATTAAAAATATGTTATGGATAAAATGAATGATTAGTACTAATAATGATTTTAAGCCCTTAAATTAGGATGATGGTGAGAGGTTAGCTGCTGAACCTTTTGAAAATCAGCAGTGATAATGAGTCAGACTGAAGCTTATCAGTGCCACATCCCATATAAATGTCTTTGAACACATTCCCAGAAAGTTGATTGCATTTTGAGAAGGAGAAATGTTTTGTCACAACCAGGTGACTTTTTCATCCTCAGCTGACCGCAGGTTTCTCCGGCCTTCATAATCATTAATCATACCAGCTGAAAAATTGTATGTAACAATCATAAAACTGACCTAATATTCAAATGTATGGTTAGAATGTGACTTGTACTCTAAAAGTGCTTTGAGTGGTCAGTAATATTAGAAACACATTATGGAGATTTATATTCAATTTTATTTTATTTATACAGCGCCAAATCACAACAAAAGTCACCTCAAGGCGCTTTATATTGTAAGGTATACACTACAATAATACATGCAGAGAAAATCCAATCATATGACCCCCTATGAGCAGCACTCTGGCAACAGTAAAGCAATATCCAGAGTGTGATTAGTGAGTGGTGGGTGGGTTCTTTTACATTTTGAAAGAAGCCAACAGAGTCTAATAAGAGATTAAATGCCGTGATTTTAGCATCTACATGGATGTTAACATCACACAATAATGATTTTATCTGAGCTGAGCACTAAATCAGATAAAAATGCTGAGAAATCAGACCAAAACTCTCTGTCAGGCCCAGGTGGATGATAGATGATTACAAATAAGACAGATTTTTGAGTTTTCCACCTAGGGTGGGCAAGGCATCGGGCTTTCAAATGAATTAAAAGTGTCTGGGTCTTTGGTTGATTAATAGGCTGGTGTGGAAAACTGCTGCCACACCGACCCTCGCCTGCTCGAGTCTGGTAGGTAGAATGACTCGGGGGTGTTGATTCATTTAAACTAACATAATCCTCCTGCTGCAACCAGGTTTCTGTAAGGCAGAGTAAATCAATTTGTTCATCAATTATCAACTCATGTACAAACAGAGACTTGGAGGAGAGAGACCTAATGTTTAATACTCCACATTTCACTGTTTTACTCTTTGGTGAAGATGTGGATACTGTATTGTTCTTTCTTTGCGATTTTTTATGTTTAAGTTGTTTTTTTCTCACCATATTATATTTATATGCAAGGTATATATCTGGAGTTGACTGGCTCATCACATGCTTGTTCAAATAGGTCTTTACAATGAGATTTGTTCACTGTGAGCCAGACAGAGAAGTGACTTCTGACACAGCTGACACTCTTCAAAGTTGCATGGATGAAAGCAATGCTTTTAGACTGAACAGTTGTATTGCTTCATCAGTACGTTTGGTCCAGTGGGTAATCTTGGCACATGGTCTAAACTTTGTCTCTCTGACCCATACATTATATGGTTGCCTATTAAAAGAATAAATATTATTTGAAATGTTTTATTCATATAGTTTTATGATGATTCTGGTGACACCTACAAGCTGAAATATGTCAGTCAAGCACTAAAGGTGTTTTGAAACAACGTGAACACTATACAACTATTTTTTTTACTGGCTGTGGAAATAACACACACCACTATTCTCTATGTACTGCTGGTTCTTTGGATGTGTGCTCACTTTCCTCTTGGTTGACCAGAATAAATCTGTCACTGTGCTGGCTCTCTCTTATCTGCATGTAAACATGTATAAAAAACATAGTTAGTATAGTCTTGTAATCAGAATAGAATACAATAGAATACAAAATGTAACCCTCCTGTCAGTAGCACAAAAGATTAAAAGTGCAAGATAAGGAATAAAAGAGATGAAATAATGGGCATATAAAAGAAATGTACTGATAATAAATAGATGTATAGTCAATGTATGTTTGATATCAACAGGATGATATTGCTGCACTTGGCATTATATTGTACAGCTTCTATTGAGTGTTCTGAAAGAATCCCCTTACTCTGTCTTTTTCAGATATGTTTGATGCCAGGATCTTACTGTTGCTGCTCCTGTCTGGTAAATAACCTTGTTATTCAAACACATTTTGAAATGATTTTATTAATACTTAATATAATATATACAGTCCCGATCAAAAGTTGAAGACCACTTGAAAAATGGCAAAAAACCCAAAACAAACAAACAATATTTTGCATGGTTGGATCTTAACAAGGTGCCAAGTACAAGTGTGACCGTTGGGCTGTATGTGTGGTCCAACTTGTGGACGATGGGCATGTCGGGGAAGTGGACCCCAGAGTCAGTATCCTCCTCCTGATAGTCGCCCTCTACTGGCTCCTGCTGGAGGGCAGGTGCTGGGAGGGGTTGCAGGAAGATGGGCCTCGCCTCACGCAGATAGGGGAGTGGATGCCACCCGAGGGCCAAAAAACTTCACCATTGCCTGTGAGGCATCCACTATCCCCACTTTGCCCACTTAGGCATGGTGGAAAGAGGAGAGCTGGCAGGGTAGGGAAGCCAGGTGAGTGGAAGTGGCCAGCAGCTCAGGTGCAATGTCAGGGTCCCTAGAACCTGCCAGCATGTGATGGGACAGGTGATGCAGGTAGAGGGATGAAATGAACACCAAATTGGTTAGACAAGCCTGGGTAGACATAGCCCCGTGTAGCCTAGCCAGCAGGGAGTCCGTAACCTTAGTTACAGGGAGTCAATGAGCAGGGAGTTCCTGCTAGGTGTTCTAGCTCTTTCTTGGCCTTCCCAGAAAACAACACACAAATAAACACTGACTGCCCCGGCTTCAACAGATAAGCCATTAGTTTCTACATTACTGCTCGTGAACTTGCAAGACTGTGGGAACAGGGGGGCGCCCGTGACATCAGAGAACTCACTGGCCTCAGGCAGCCACTGCCAGGATCCGCTGTCTGTGTGAAATGTGTGACCATGGGCAATATGCCAGGGGAATGGCTGGCTCCAGGATCCCATGTGAGCACGAAGTGTGCAACCCGCAAGACCGCAAGACAAGGCACCAGCAACTAGAATCAGTGTAGCTTAGAGCTTTTTTTTCGGCTGCTGAGACAGGCTCCCCACCACAAAGGTAAATGGACACACACTGCTACTACACATTGAACTACACACTATACACACACTGTACATGCATGCACACTGCCAAGTGGAGATCAAACCTCAACAGTGAAGTTTACCGAAAGCCCACACACACGGACCAGTACCTCCTTTTTGGCTCCCACCACCCTCTGGAACACAAACTTGGAGCAATCAGGAACCTGCAACACCAGGAAGAAAATGTTCCCTCTAAGCCAGAAGGGAAAACGAAGGAACACACACATGTGAAGTAACCTCTTAAAATGTGGTTATCTCAATTGGGCTTTCATGAAAATAGCGAAGATGGGTAGGAAAGAAGGTTTCAATTAATTAGGGAGAAACAGAATGACAAATGGAACAACACTGTCATCCCTTATGTAGCAGGTTTATCAGAGGAACACAGCAGAGTCTTCTCCAAGGATCACATCCCAGTGCACTTCAGCCACTCTTAGACAAAAACTGGTTCATCCCAAGGACAAAACTCCCAACCACAAGCTAAACAACGCACTGTACGCTGTGCAGTGTAGTGAGGAGTGCTCAGACCTCTACATAATGCACGGCACAAAATATAAGAGCCACCTCGATGGGACAAGACTCCGCTGTACATGTCTGTCGAAAAGACAAAGGTCACTCTTTCAAGGATGCTGACGTTCACATCTTTTACAGAGAAGACAGATGGTTTGAAAGAGGAATGAAAGAGGCCATCTATGTTCACTGTGAATGATGATCCTTGAACAGAGGTGAAATTTCTGCCACCCAGTTTTTCCCTTCCCAGGCACCTTAACCTCCTAGGACCTGGCGTCCACATATGTACAGAGATGGGCAAGTAATCGGGGCAAAAAGTAATCGGATTACAGTAACGCGTTACAAGTAACGCGTTACTGTAATCCGATTACTTTTTTCAAGTAACGAGTAAAGTAAGGGATTACTATTGCAAAAACGGTAATTAGATTACCGTTACTTTCCCGTAGGAACGCTGCGTTACTACGTTACTAAAACCGTGATTTTTTTGCGAGAATGTCTCATGACAGTGACGTAAGCGAGCACGACGTTCGTGACAACAGCTGTGTGCAGATCAACAATGGATCACATATCGAGTGCAGAGAGAGTATGAGCGTGCAGCGTTTAAAGCGTGGAAGTACTGACCTTACTTTGACTTTGATTCCATAAAAAGTGACAAAAACATTAGTGTCCGCTGTGCGTGGGAAGAAAACTTCTTTTTACAGCGAAAAAAACCCCTAAACTTCCAAACAAGCACCGAGTAGCTACGACGTAATGGGAAACTCACAGAGAAACTCGCGGATTCTTCCACTGACCGCAGCACACCTACACCAGGGTAACCCTCCGCCTGCCCCACTCCTGCTTTACAGGTGACAATAGAGCAACAGGACCGCTGAGTCTTTGACTTTATTTATTTTCTGCTGTGTTTTACTTGCATCTATTTGAAAGACTGAGTGTAAACACAACAAATATTTTATTTTATGTGCTGGAATGTGCAGGAAATAAGTTTAAATATTAAACTAATTTATTCAAGTCAGAGAATGTTGCAGATAATTACATGTTTGCTTGATGCATAAAGTTAAAAGATTAAAACTGATAAAACAAGTTTTAAAAAGATGCTTTTCCATTTGATTACATTTTGTATGATGGATTATGCAGAAAAAGTAGAATTGGGCTGAGAGATCTATCGCTTTATCACCTATTCAGGTTGTAAATCGTGTTTTTAAAAAGTAACGAAGTAACTAATTACTTTTTTGGGGGAGTAATCGGTAATTAGTTACTGATTACTTTTTTCAAGTAACTTGACCAACACTGATCACTACTTAGAAATGACTGTCTGTTAGCATGGTTATGTTTTTTAAATATCAGTATATTGTGATTTATACTGATTTTTGTGTTAGAAAAGGGCTAACACCTCCCTCCATCAGGGTCATAGGGTACCTGGAGTACAGTGGCTACATTGGTACTCCTGAAGTAAGCTTACATAAGCCCTGATGAAGGCCATCAGAGTTGGCCTTCCTGAGGTGGAATTTTAAGGAACAGTCATGGGATGGAAATCTGGTAGTTCTTATGACATCACAGCTATTGCACAGTTACAGTGCAGGTTTAAATGTTACAACTGAAACATATTTATGACTCCAGCAACAAGCAGATACACACACAGCTGAACTAGGACATTTTCATAGAGCAGTTTCTTTGAAAAAAAGGTGAGTTTTGGGGGAACTGCTTTATAAGTGACACTTACTTTTAATGCTGTAACTTTGATAGCTGATGGTAGATATTTACAGTGAGATTTTTGAGCATGCCCTACAGTACAGATGGGAAATGTACTGCTTAACTTGAATAACTTATGTCTTTGTGGGATCTTTAAAGTTCAGATGATGGAACAAGGAGATGGGGCCCATGCTCAGCCTAATGAGGGTAAGAACTTGATCTGTTATTGTACAAGAGAAACGTAATGCAGTGTTGAAGTTTCTTTTGATTAGCTGTGACTTTGCTAACTGAACTTTCATGTAGAGCAACCACTCTTGGCTGAAGGTGGTAACTGGGGAGATATGGACAACGTCTTTGAAAATGGTGTGGAACATGTTATAATATTTTTACCACGTGAAGTTGCGAGACTTTGGGAGCCAGAGCAGCTTAACAACAACAATGATCACATCAATCAGAATAATTTCTTCAACATTCGTTTTGAAATTGATGACAGCAACTCTGATGATGGACATGATGACAATAATGCTGATGATGAAAATGACCACAATTATTGCAATTATAATAATGATGATCAAAATGCTGACAGCAGCAACGATGAAGAGGAACGCAATGAAGCTCATCAAGATGAAAGTGACCTTGCTGCTGCTGAGGTTGACTATGAAGCCAACCCGGATGAAGGAGAAGCAGCGGAGGATCTGCTTCCTGGAGGATTTAGGAGACAGTTTAGAGAGGAAGACAGTGATGATGAGAAAAGTAATGCAAGCCAACAGTTCCACTGGTGGGATGAATTTGCTGACAGCGACTCTGAAGAACAAGACTCCCTACTTGAAGGCAATAAAGAAAGCGATGAGGGTGATGAAGATGAGAGGTGAATCCAAAAGTGACATGCCAACCGTCACTCAGAGTGACTGAATGGAACCTCTTTAATAAAAATGCATCTTCTACTCAGTTGTCTTTTGATTAAATGCGAGCACTGCAACACTCTTGTTTTTAAAAAGATATAAAACTGCTTTTGTAAAACCAAATTACTCTTGCAGAATAGACGTACCAAGGTATGGTAGTATTCTGATATTTAAACACAATCAATGTGCCATCCTACAAAAACAACTTTACAACTTTTTTTGATAAAATCAAGGACTCAGCGGGCCTGTTGCTCTATTTTCACCTGTATAGCAGGTGGATGTTTGCCCTGGTGCAGGTGTGCCGCAGCGGTCAGTGGAAGAATCCGTGAGTTTGTCTGTGAATTTCCCATTACGTCGTAGCGTCCTGGGTGCTTGCTAGTGATGTGCGATACCACTGATTTCCTTTCCCATCCGATACCAAGTAATATTCAGGGTGGTATCGACGATACTGATCCGATACTTTGTACAAAAACGGATTTTATTTATTGTATCTCAAATTATAGCGTCATAATGATTACAGGATATTCAGATTACTTGTTCTTATCACGTAATAATGCAGGGTTCATCATATAGAAATAAAAAACCTGAAGTTGTGCCTATTTGAACACGTTGCCTGCCTGCAGCACTAAAGGACTCCGTGAGAGACTCTCACCCTAGCACCACCTGTCCCTGTCCTCCTCTTCAGTCTCAACATACGCTCCTCATATTCTGTGATATGATTTACTCTGAGGTGTTTGACAAGGTTAGTGATGTTGCCACAACCATACATGCCAACCCTCCCGATTTTTCTCAATTTGTTTTCGCTAAAAAACAGGGTGTGGTTTTTGTAAAGAAGGTCTGGTGGCCCTAAAATGTAAAATGTTGAGTAAATTTTGTGTTAATGTGTTGGTCTTAAGTAAAACTAAGGTGTAACACTGAATTGATTGACAATTTATACTTTATACTTTAAAAAACAGTCAAATGAAGTGGGGACATTTTTGACCCCTGAGGAGCAAAGCTGTATGGAAATCGGGAGGACATTATGAGGGTTAAACTGACCACTAACCCTCCTCCAAAACAGAAGTCAAAGTTCCAAACATGAATTCAGCAATGAGTAGCTCCAGCGTTATTGTTGATCACTTTAAAAACTCGATGCGCCATGCTTGATGCAAGCGTTTCTATGAAGTGAGTGGGAAAATTTCTCCAAGTGGTGAAATGATAAATGGCCTGCATTTATATAGCGCTTTACTAGTCCCTAAGGACCCCAAAGCACTTTACACATCCAGTCATTCCCATATACATTGTAGCCACAGCTGCCCTGGGGCGCACTGACAGAGGCGAGGCTGCCGGACACTGGCGCCACCGGGCCCTCTGACCACCACCAGTAGGCAAACATAGTATCTTGCCCAAGGACATTTGGCATGCAGCCAGGAGGCAGCCTGGGATCAAACCACCAACCTTGTGATTAGTGGCTGACCTGCTCTGCCACCTGAGCTACAGCCACCCATAGCTGAAGACAACTGCATGAAGGGCATCTACTGTCTGGAACTGTTGTCCATTTTTGTAAATTTGAAAACATCTCAGGTGGGATCTGCTTGTCACGTCAGTAACATTGGAAACCATCAGCACCATCGAGGTTTAATTTTTTTCTCATCAGAGTAAAACTTTCTTCCACCTTTCAATGTCCCATGTTTGGTGGTCTCTTGCAAAGTGCAAAACAGAGACGTTTTAGTTTGAAGACGTTTTTTGTTTTTAAAGCCCTTCAGTCTCAGATGTCGTCTGATGGTTATGCGATTGCGGTCGGCACCAGTAAAAGCCTTAATTTGGGTCAAGGATTGTCCAGTGTCTTGACGGACAGCCAGTTGGATCCTCTGGTTCAGTGCTTGTGACATTTCTTTGGGTCTTGCCACTTGATTTTTTTTGTTCCATAACCCTCAGGATCATCTAAGAAATTCCAAATGACTTTCTTACTGTGTCCCACCTCAGCAGCGATGGCGTGCTGTGAGAGACTTATGCAGTTCAACAACCCAACCACATTCAAAAAGGGAAAGTTTTTTTTTGCCTTTGCCGTCAGAACATCATGACAGTTTGACTACCTGACAGAAAATGACAATGAATTGACATTTTTACACAGATATGGCCTTTTAAAGGCATGTGGTCCTAAACTTTTGATCAGCTGTAAAACAGCCTGTTTCAGTTTAAGCGTTATTTTAAATCAATTGCATGCTCAAAAAAATGTTTTGTCTCACTCGCATTTTGTCTTGTTCCATGTTGAAGCTCTACTTGGAACCTTGTTAAGCTCCAACCATGCAAAATATCATTTTTTAAGTGGTCTATATCTAACGTTGTTATACTGTCAACACCTGCAGGGGCAAGAGCATTCATGATCCACAACACCCAGCACAACCTGTGTCTGGAAGATTCAGCAGATACAGGTGAAGTCCAATTGAAGACATGCAACCTAGACTCTGAATATCAGCAGTGGATCTGGATCAGTCGGGACATGCTGATGTGTGTCGCATCATCTAGGTGTCTGTCAGCCCAGCACGAAGGGCCAGTGCACACCCAGGATTGCCATGAACCCGAGGTGGATGCTGCTTGGTTAATATGGGACTGTGACCGGGACCAACTGATCAGTAGAAAGCTATCAATGCTTCTGTCACACAATGGCCAGCATGCGATCCTCGTACAACACAGCAAACACCCAAAGTGGAGATCTCTGGATCAGGGGGACATCTGCCAGGAAAGATTCAGTAAGACTCAGTAGTTATTGAACAGAAAGCAGCTTTTCTGTTCTTTGCACACTTTTCACACTGAAGCAGGATTTATGGTCCACCAAAGACAGCGGGTTCACTGCCCACTTTAGTCCAGGGCCTGCCTGTAGGCCTGCAGTCTGCCTCTGTTGTCAGATGGAGGCAGTGTACAAAGTGTGTGTAACAGCTGGTCTGCAGGCCACTGTTGCTCTTTTAGATTTTGGTCTGTCAGCCGGCAGCAGAGAAGTTCTAACACACAAAGAGAGTTAAAAACAATGAAAATGTCCACCGCAGCCACTGTGCTTCTTTATGTTGGACTTTTGTAGTTTAGTGAACTCTGCTATCACTCTTTCCTCTATTCTGACTCACTTATTAACCAGTCTACATTTGGCAGATGCTTATGTCATACGCTTCCAACAACATGCAGTCAGGATATTGGATGACTGCACGGGAATGTATCTAGGGTGGGTGGAACCCCCACCATTCGACTGAAAACATGTACGCGGACACACCGTAAATCCTGCTTTAGCAATACGCAACACATTCACATATAAGTAGAAAAGGAACTCGGACAAATTTAAAGTGAAAGTGCAATAATGTGATTTCATGAAAATATATTGAAGTAGTCAAAAAGTAGTTAATATTATTAAGTATTCTATTAAAGTGTTCATTTATCACTTTAATTCTTCAGCTGAAAAAGGTGGAGCTCATTTAAACGTCAGTGAATTTCTTTCACTAATCTTGTCTAAATCAAACTTGTCCATACTATTGTGCTTATTAGTGACCTGTGTTTTTTGATTGCAATAAAGATAGAAAAGCAAAGAAAACTCATTGCAGAACATTCTTGTCATGAGAGACTGTGAGTCAGCTAGCAGTTAGAAAGCTGGATCCACATAACGTACTTTGTATGTGTCAAAGTATCCTTGGGCACGATACAGAATCCCAAGTTGTCCTGATATATCCACTGGAGTGTGAGTGTTAGATCAAAGTGTATAGATAAGAGCTGTATGAATGTGTGTGTGATCGTGTGGATGAGACTTGTGTTAGAAAGTGCTTTGAGGAGGTCAGGTCACAGTGACCTGAATCTTTGGCCAACAAAATCTTTACAGTTTATCACTAAGGAACTCAAAATATATTACATTCAGAAGAGTATGTTTAATGAACAGCACATGTAAATGTTAAATGGACTAATTCTTGTATAGCGCTTTTCTACTCTCCCAGAGCACAGAAAGCGCCCAACATGCCAAATTCACCCAATCACGCAAGCACTTTTCTTCTAAGCTTTTTAGTGCTTCCTAACATGCGTACACATTTATAATGCGATGGATGCATCCGAGAGCAACTTGGGGTTAGTATCTTGCCCAGTGATACTCTGCATGCATACTTGGCAGTAGAGGACCTGCTCTCCTGCCACTTCATCATTACTGGTACAGAGACAAATTTAAGAGCTGATACTGAAATCCTCAGTTTGCTACATTTGTGTTTGACAATCAAAGCTTCTGTGGGGTCTGTCTGTGTGTCCTCTTAAGGACATCGGAGAGCTTCTGACGATTTGACGTACGAGGATGAAGCACAAACAGGAGAGCTGACAGCTATGACAAAGGAACAAAGAGAGTATCTACGTTGGTTCTACCGCACAGAGGACCGTAAGTGCTGCTCCTGCTAGAATACTTGATCCAAATGGATGTGTAACATGAAATACTTGGTAATTTGGATAGTCTGCAATATTTTTTTTTCCTGAGACATAGTATGCTGTGTGAAGTAGCATAACATAAGCAGCATGAGAGGTGATAGGAAGACAGCATCTGCAGACTGTTCAAGTTTCCTTTAAGTGTTCTTTATTTTCTGGCGTCGTCTTTCAACAATTGTTTCACAAAAACATAAGAACCTGTCAAAATCTCACCTGCTTTATACAGAATTCTACTCACACCTGGATCTCATTAACCTCTACCATTGGGAAAACAGGATAGACTAAGCAACACAACACAGTCTAGACAAAGAAACAGGAATAAAATGATTTTTCCACTTAACTCATTCACCCAACTAAACAGTTTGAAAAGTCAATCTCTTCACTTAATCTGACTCGTGAGGTTATTTTAAATGAAATAAACAATTTTACACAAAAGAAACACCTCTTCATTTGGTTACACCCAATTGACATAATCAGTGACATCATATCCTATAAAATCAGGAAGTACTGTTTTACACATAGGACCTGCTCAAAGGAACACACAATGGTAAGTATAACCAAGCTACATAAACAAATGAAAGATTCAAATCAATTAATGATGAAGTGACTATAACCAATGCTACCACAAACAGACCCGGGATAGTATGTAGAGCCAAGGTTGCATGTGCTGTGTTTACATTAAAGTAGTGATGGGTAGATGAGGCCTCGTGAAGCCTTTCAGCACATTCCCCAAACTGTATCTGTGTCGAC